CCTTGATGCTTGGGTAATTTAGCAATGGGTCTATTGTTTTCCAGGGATAGATTGTTTTAGCTACTAGGTTCGACAGGCCGAGGGAAATTTATTCGGCCGCGAGTTCGACTTATTGAGGAATATAAATTAAAATTAATTTTGTGCAACAAATTTTAAGGTTGGTACTTTATATGGCATGACAAAACCCTTCCGAGACTGCAGGTATAAACGACACATGCACTAGAAGGTGTCAATATGTCTGTGTGCGTGTGCGAATTTTAGAATCAGTGGATGAACTTAAAAACTGTATGGTGAGAATTCAAATATAATCAAATAAAGCTTTTATGTGACCAGACTGCACAGATGATGTGCTTGCGTCATTCAGGCAAACGAAAAGAAACACTGCATTTGCAAAACTGCCTGTAGACCCCAATGAAGTCTACCTGCCTCGCTTGCAACCGCGAGCAGAGCACTGATTTCTATGTCTATTTCTTGGATCGCGTCTGACCAGCTCCGCCTATAAACAAAAATGCGGCCACGGTTGGCAATCTTTTTGGTAGAGTTATATTATCTCTAGTCGTCATAGTAATATGGCGGACAGCGCTACGGTGGCAGGCTGCCATACAAATAGCCGTGGGTCTAGCACATGCTACGAACAAACGCCCATCAGGCGTTTGTGCCTAGACGTGGGTGTGACGCACTACCAAAAAGTGATTCCGGCAGGGTAAGAAAAAGCCAAGAGAGAAACAAGCGCATTCGGCAAAAGGATAGTATATCGAGAAGGTGAATATACCCACCGAGCTCTACGCATCCAGTACCCGCAGCACGAACAAAAATGAAGTGCAAATAATACGTCCCTCGTATCATCATTCGAGCATAGATAGCTCTTCTATGGAAGTATTCTGTCCATGTACACAAGCTTTGATGTCTATGAATCGCGCGTGGTGCCCACCCCATTTAATCTGTGACAGCTGCAATTGCTACGCAGCTGCTCCATTCGAGGGATCAAGGGACCATTAGTTCAACTCGTATACCAATGTCGCTACAAGCATTCGTTTACTATAGCGTTGTAAACAAATAAGTAATTTGCCTTCCGTAAAATTCTGAGAGATACCCAACCCCCGAAAAATAGCCCGCCCTCTATTTTTGGCTTGATTTGCTCTATTTTTTAAACACCGAAAGATATCCCACTTCTAGTAGTAGTATTGTTCGGGTCAATGATGACCTCGGGGTAAAGTGCGGCCAGTTGGCTATGACGGGATATAAGCGAACGTTGCTGGCTGGGAAGTACAGTCACCTTTCCTTTGTTGCCCCTCTCCACCATAACAAGCTTGGAAGGGACACGATCTAAAAAATAGCAATTTTTTTCACACTTTTCTTGATTATATACACCAAAAGTTAGCCCACTCCATATTTTTACCTGAGTCGCTCTTGATGTTAGGTGGGCTATCTCTCGGGATGTTACGGCGTGTTGTGGGTGGGACGGCAAAATATTTCCATGGAAATCTTCCTATGGAATACTTCTTATATGAGTGTCTGGCAAGATGCCATATTAAAACACCCTTTAGTGGGTTGGATGTCTTGGCAATTACTTTTTTTTGTGTCGGGCCAGGTTAGTCTTGTCGCTCATTCGTCGCTCTAAGGTACTTGTAGGCTGTTGTCTTGATGATAAAGCTAGTAAACATGCGAGCTAGCTTAGGTTGCTCATCGTTAAGACCGGAGACGACAGCAAAAAATGGGAAAGGACACGCGTCTTAAGACGTGTGTCCTGTCCAGTGTTGTACACGTTCCTCGTTCTTTTTGATTTTTGGGATGCGTTCCCTTTACAAGTTCCATCTGTGAGAAAGGAACTCCTTCCCGTTACAGTTTAAAAAAAATTGAACGTATCGCAACATATACGTTACATTTGTATTTTACTGATGACCATATTTAGTTAGATCAAACAAAGTTTTTTTTTTTTTTTTTTATCTATCCCATCATACGGAAACATACAAATTTGAATGCCGTCATGGAAGGACACCAGGTGAAGAAAACCAGCGGAAGCAAGGTTTCATTTGTTGACATATTAACATTTAAAAATGTCAGTGCTTTGCCATATTCATGTTTGTGGTGGGCGATTCAGACGAGCCAAATGTATTGTTACCCCACATTGCACGATCGTTTTACATCAACCTCACACGTTTCAATCTAACAAAGTCCCTTGTTCGTACTTAACAACAGTTGCTTCTCGGTGTTGCTGTCCACAAAACGAGCAAGTGGAGAAGAGGGTAGGGCTTCTGGAAGGTCAGTCTTGAAAACTACCAGTCCTTCTTTGTGAAGGTTGGATTCGTTGTTCAGTTTGAAGGTGGGAGAAGTGGAGAGGGAATAAAAGTTAAGTTTTGTGCATCTATCCATGTTCGGGATACAAGGGTGCGTTCGATGTCTGGTAAACTGTTCCTTTGGTGTAACTGTAGGTATTTTTGTAGAACTTCAGTGATGGCTGTAGTCTTCCTTAGATTTCTCGGTGTATGAGGATTCGTGGAAGCAAAGAAAGTAGCTGAGTTTGAAACGTCTCCTTTTCTGTCTTTTCCTTCGACTAAATATTTTGATTTCTGTACCGCAGTGTCGGGCACTGCAAAGACAATCAATGCACTAGCTCTCCTGCACCCGACTGTTATCAAGCGAGGACCCCACATAATAAACCCTAAGTAACAAAAAATTTAACAAGATCCTGCTCTTCGTAAATACATTGTTCTTATACTTTTTAGAAATTCCCCTCTTAGAAATAAAATAAAAATGACCTCACTGGCCGAAGAAAAGGAACACCGGAACGGTGTTCCTTTTCTTCGGAACGGAAGAAGGAACTTCTTCCGTTCCCGTAAAAATATAACAACTTCCCGTTCCAGTTCCACCGATGCAGAATGGAACGGCGGCGTTTTTTCGTTCCTCCTAAAAGGAACGCGTTCCAGGAACGCCGTTCCATACAGCACCGGTCCTCTCCCCATTCTTTTCGTCGTCTCCGGTCTTAACGATCTGCTGTTTTCTTTACTATTTCGTTTCGCACATAAAAGCAAGGGTCTGCATGTGTAGTTGAGCCAATTATTTTATTTTTTTCCGCGTCGAACATAAAGTTGTCTTTTGTCGAATCTTGCATGTCGGATTATGTGCACCGATGTGATGAGCACCACATCTTTGTTGTACCTCCTCTCCGTAAGTTTCTGATTGTGCTGGAGCGTATAATCCTGCTCCTTCCTTTTCCAGCCACCTAAAGGGGCAACGTTGTTGTACTTATTAAACAATGTTGGTGAGGGTGGGGTGCATCACTGCATTAGTCCAACCTCTACCGGCGGCACTCGATTCAATTTATATTATTCTACTTTAGCAAATCTCCTGGGCCTTAATACATATTATTCTTCACTCATAACTCGTAACATTTCGTCGTGATCACTTTAAACAATATGTTTTTGTTTTGTTATTTCTTATTACTTAGGTGTGCTTTTGCTATGTTAAAACTCTTGCATTCAATACTCTATCGACCAACATTGGCGGTCACGATTTATTAGGCACGAAACGTGTAATTGGTTCCGAGTCCTCCGCGAACGCTGACGTGGCCCTCGTGTTCACTACAGCAAAGCCTGGCAGATCGTCACGTGACGCGTCCGCCGAAAGTGAAAAGGTACAGCGGCAGACAAGAGTCATGTAACGGGCACCCCGCTGCGGCGAGGCGCCGAAACACACATGTCCCGAGCGATGGAATGTCCGCTCGTGCTTTTTGCGCTCCTCGGGCTACTGCTTCTTTTTTCGTCGGGTTTGAAAACCATGTTTGAAGTCCACGCCGCATCAAAAACTGTGCGCTGCTCTGTGCTACCAGATCCTCACGCTCCAGATCTGCGACCGGGCACTCTGGCTCCGTCATCGAAGTGCCAGGCTCTGTGAGTATAGGGGAGGTTATGCACGTATACTAGCGCTTCGAACTCATTTTAGACGATCCGAAAAAGTCAGTTTATCAACGTACCGAGCTGCGATTTACCACAGAGGTGCGCCAAGGTAGCGGAAGCTACCTCTTCCTCTTCAGAGCGAACAACACACGGCCTACATATGGCGAGTCCAAAGGGCAACTGATAACGTCGCTAGAAAATGGCTGCGTCAAGAGACACAGGAACACAGCCATTGGTTGGTAGCTATTTTAGGTTTTACAGCGACGTTACAGCGAATTTATATATGGATCGAATAAAGACACATACATACATAATGGCAATGAACTCTTTCAATTCGCTACTTTTAGCGATGGTGGTACCGCGGTGTGAGAATCGCGGTCCCTAGCTCCTGGGTGATTGGCCTTATAATAAATGGGCTTGTCTACAACTTCCTGGCTTGAAAAAACAGCGTAAGGCTCCAATACTGCTCGTATATAGAAAAATTCGAGTTACGCGTCGAAGACCCAGCCTCGTACCACTCTTCTGGACACCTATTTTGATTGGCACCAGTGCGCCTCCTATAGGTCGTAAAAGTTGCAAACAAACGACGTTGTAAGTTCTAAACTCAATTTTTCGAGGCACACCTCGAGGACAGTTTTTCTCCGATTGAGCCCAAGTTTCTTTATCAGCATTGCGGAATCAAAAGAAGAGAAGCTTAGATCGGCGCGTTCTGCCCTCAGCCTTGTCACAGCGCACTCTTAGCTGAAATCAGTCGGTGACCGTAGATGATAGCAAGGTATCAGGACCTCACTATCTAATAATGCTAAGGAAGGCTGACTCATGCGGGCTGCCCCCTCTTTTTGTTTATACTTGCCACGACCAATCGGAACGAAGGAATGCCGTTTAAACTGGAGTTTTTTTGTTAACATCCATGGACGTATATTGTTCCAGACCCTAGCACATAACAACTTCGCTGTAATACATATATATATATATATACAGTGAAACCCGTTTATAACGAACAACAGGAAACACTACGATCAGTTCTATATAGCAAGTAGTTCGATACAGCGAAACCCATTTACAAAACCCAGCTACGACTTTCCCGACGATTAAATATCGAACTTTAAATCGCTGCAGCCACCCAGATCCAGCGGTGAAGCCCTCAACGTTCTGGAGGGATGCAAAATCTCTAGCCTTGCTTTGCAACATCGGTCCGGAGACCGGCAGGTTCCGCACACGAATGTCCAAAAACAGCGCTTTTTCCACCTTGTCGTACGCCGGCTTACGGATGCGCCTGTTGTCCGCGTTTGGACGTTCACGGGCCTTGTCTCGGATGGCAGACTTGTTTTTAAGAATTGTACTCGGCGTACTTCTGGGGATCTTGTAGGCGGCGGCAACGTCTGATTTCTTTTCGCTGTGCTCCACACGACTGATGATGTCAACCTTGTCGGAAAGTGGCAGAGCCTGCCGCTGCTTCGTCGTCATTTCGGGGCCAAACTAGCTGGCCCGCACAGTGAACAGAAAGTGCAATGGGGACAAGAAAGACGACAACAAACGACGACTAAATTAACGAGAAGAAATGAAGGAGGGAAAGAGAGGGAGATTTGCCTGTGGTTGACGCTTTAAACGGCATGTGACAATGCTATGGAATCTGAAATGCGATAGGTTTATTTCCTCTTGGGGCGTGGCGTGTCAAGCCCCAAGTGAACGCGCAAGGTGAGGAGGGTTAAGCTAGAGTGACTTCAAGTTCTCTTCGGTGGGACATGAAGGCCCCCTAGGTCAAACTAAAGTGACTTTAGGTGAAACAGGGCGCGAAGAGAGAGGAGGCGAGAACTTCTCTTTCTTTCTTATCTCTTCGCTTCCGCCTTGTAACAATGCGCTAGAAAGATTTTTTTTTTTAGCTTATCTCCGTTTTTTAATTGCTTTTCTTCGTAAGCAACCGCTTTGCATTTAAAAGTTTTTTTTTTTTCTGTGCCCTTTCGGAATCGCTTTTCTTCGCTTATTTTTGTTTGCAGCTCGAGCTTTTGGAATTTTGTTTCTTTCCTACACTTTTTCGGGCGAAGGCATTGGCTGAAAGACGATTGTTTGCGCGTCTTTGCAAGCCTTCCCAGGGGAAAAAAGTTCAATATAGCCAATATGTTCGTTATAAAAAGTAATTTTTACATACATTTTGATTTAAATTTTTCGTGAGTTCGATATCGACAATAATTCGCTGTATGTGTTCGTTCAAAACGGGTTTCACTGAATAAATATATATATATATATATATATATATATATATATATATATATATATATATATATATATATATTGTTAGAGGCCGACGAAGAGGAGTACGAGGAGTTGAATGGTGCCCTAGGAAACGTTAAGTGGCACTCCGTCAGCCGGAACTGAAGTTGACTCCCGTGAGCCTGTAACATTTTGGTGGCAGCGGTGGGATCACTCCTAAACTTCGATGGCGAGTCCACTGCACGTTACGTCCCACTCCGGCAACACTTCGCAGCGAGCAGCTCAAAATGGCTTCTCCATGAGCGTTCCAACGCAGCTACAACGCCTTCAAACTGGCTTGAATGTTCTTCCGAGTGACATCAATGGGCCACAAAGGGGCGCTTTGGGGATTTCTGTAGATGACCTCAACACCTGTCCATCGGCTCTGGATGAAGGTGAGATCGTTTCAACAGTGAGCCCCTTAACGAATGTGAACCGAGGTACCCGTGCAAGGACTAATCCGTCACTGAAGTTAAAACCCTTCGACGGCAGTGTACCAGTTCACCTTTATCTGTACCAGGCTGAAATTATTGCACAAGCCAACGGCTGGACGGAAGACGACAAAGTTCATGCGCTCGTCTCCCAGATGCAAGGATCAGCTCTATTTTTTTTACCATCGTATTTACCAATTCGATGGTATTCCTTAATCATTCCCGGCCCTACGTGAAGCACTGGAGCGACGTTTTGAAGATAGACATCTCCAACAAATGCACAGCTCGGAGTTAAGTTTACGCCGTGAGCGCTCTCACGAAACCCTCCAGGAGCTGGCAGCCGACATCCAGCGCTTGACATCCTGGAGCCCCAGCAGACGCAAATGATAAGGTTGGCACCTCCGCTTTTGTAAGCGCAATAGCTGATCCAGAGATTCAAGTATTTGTACGTCTTTCACGACCTACAAACGTCAAAGATGCCCTGGATCAAGCGCTAAAAGCGGCAACTGCTCAAAGGGCTACAGAGTTTGTGCAGAGGGCTAGGCATCTACAAGAGCCACCATCACCACTTTCCGCCTTATCTCAGGCGCCCAAAAGGCGGCATGGTAGTAGGAAATACAATCCTACACAACAACCAGCCCGGTCTGAGGCCACTGATCAAGCCTCCAAGGTTAACGGTGGAGCGAGCACGGTGCTTCCTTCAGTAACTCCCCTAAAACTTCCTCTGACATCAATGGCAAGTAACCAAACGTCGGTTCCAAAATTTACTGTTTGGATTGAATGTATTGGATACCAAGATGCTCTTCTTGACACTGGAGCAGCAGTGAATGTTCTGGCATTATCCCTGGTCCCAGCAGACGCACGTCTTCGTCCGACGTCACTTGGATTGTTCACTGTGAACGGTACTGCAATTCACACCCTGGGTATTCTCACTTTGCAATTGAAAACAGTTGAGAGTACATTACCAGTGGAGTTCCTGGTGCTCGAGAACTCTGTTTGCCCGGTAGTGCTTGGCTACGAGTGGTGCCGTAAGAATAACTTTCTTAATAATGAGTTTCCGGATTCAAGAGGCAACAGAATCGCAACATCGACAATTGACCACGGTAAGTTCTTATCAAAGCACAAGCTACATCTTGGTGCTGCTCGAGTTATCTTCAACGTATGGAATGTCACCACTGCACTTCTGAGAGATTCGCTAGACCACGTCCAGAAGGTACTTCGAGCTTTGCTTGGCACCGACACAGCAAGTATCACACCTGTAAAAAGCAACGTCTATGTGGGCAAAACGGTCACCATACCCCCGAGCTCTGCTGCGTGGGATCCGGTGAATACGCCCGACCAGAGTTTCAGCGGCAACGTCATTTGCGAACCTCTCCTTCAAGCTAAACCTGGACACGAGTTTGTCTCCCACCACACTTTGGCATCTTCTCTGCAGGGAAACTTCGTCATCTTGGCTGTAAATATTGGATTGAACGACATCACGCTAAAACCCGAGGAACAAGTCGGAACCGCCCAGCCCTCCTGCCCTCAAGTGCAGGTGAATACAGTCGCACTTGAATTCAACTCACAGGCAGACATACCCAGTCTTCCATGGGAAAATTTTAATGTTAATCCTGACCTTGACGCAGAACAGATGACAGCACTTCCGACAGCTCCTTCAACGTCATCGTAGCTGCATCGCACTTTCTCCAAATGAACTCGGCTGCACGTCTTTAGTCAAGCATTCCATCAACACTGGGGACAGCCGACCTACTCACCAGTCACAGCGTAGGTTTGCTACATCCGAACATTCAAACGCAAGTTAAAGACATGATTCAACAAGGGGTGGTCGTTCCTTCATCAAGTCCATGGTCCTCTCCAGTGGTGCTCGTCCGAAAAAAAAGATGGTGCAATCCGATTTTGTGTTGACTATAGAAAAATCAACAGCCTTACGAAACAGGATGTGTACCCCCTACCTCGCTTGGATGATACCCTGGATCGACTACAGGGATCAGAATATTTCACCACCTTGGATCTCCTATCAGGATACTGGCAGGTTGCGCTGGACCCCAGGGATGCAAAAAAATCTGCGTTTGTAACATCTGATGGACTCTACCAGTTTACAAGAATGCCTTTTGGGCTGAATAATGCACCTGCAACATTTCAGAGATTAATGGACAGGGTGCTAGGCCACCTGAAGTAGACCATGGCACTCGTATACCTAGATGACATAATTGTCTATGGAAGCACATTTGATGAACACCTCCAAAGGCTCACATCAGTATTGGATGCGCTCTCCTCTGCCAATTTGTGCCTGAAACCGGAAAAGTGTTACTTTGGGTATAAAGAGGTAACCTACCTTGGACACGTTGTATCGAAAAGAGGTGTTACACCAGACCCTGTCAAGCTTCAAGCTTTTGCAGAGTATCCTGTTCCAACATCCTTAAAGGAAATAAAAAGTTTCCAGGGATTCGCATCATATTTCCGCCAATTCCTTTCTGACTATGCGCGCCGTGCGGCTCCAATGACCCGTCTGCTACGCAAAAATGTACCCTGGCGATGGACAGCAGAGGAACAAGCTTCCTTTGAAGACCTGAAGAGTGCTTTGTTGAGTGCCCCGATTCTCGCCCACTTTGACCTTGCTAAGGCGACCTATCTCCACACAGATGCGAGTGGAGAGGGACTCGGTGCTGTTTTGTTGCAACAAGATGACGACGCCACGCAACGTGTTGTTTCATACGCAAGTCGCCGTCTAACGGACGCAGAACAGCGGTATCATTCTTCAGAACTTGAGTGTCTTGCACTAGTCTGGTCAGTGCAACACTTCCGGCCATATCTCTACGGGCGACACTTCACTGTTGTGACCGGTAACTCAGCCTTGACATGGCTCCAAAGTAAAAAAAGATCTAACGGCCAAATTAGCTCGATGGTCGATTTTACTACAAGAACATAACTTCACAATTGTTCATCGGAGTGGCAAAGAACACCATGATGCAGACTTTCTATCTCGTCATTCGATGAAGGACATGCCGGATTCTCCTGACCACGATGCTTGCTTTTGTGTTTTGTGCGTCTACATTTAATTTGAACGCAGGCCAGGAACAATATTGTGAAATCCAGGACATCGTGTCTCGACTTCAAACGACTGACGTACCACCCACGACTAATCGCCTACGTAAAGCGTGCCAGGTTCGTGCCGGGTTACTTTGCCATCGCAGTTCCAGCACTAAACATTGGGTGCCAGTTGTCCCTTCTTCACTACGCGGAGCGGTACTGCATCTTTGTCACGACGACCCTACGGCGGGGCATCTAGGCCGTGACAGAACTTTCCAGAAGATATTAGAAAGGTACTGGTGGTCCAGGCTTCGAAAGGACGTGGCAAGCTACGTAGCCTCTTGCCCACAATGTCAGCAACGCAAGTCACCAAATACAAGCAAGCCATGTGAACTTCACCCCATACCACCACCTGAGGCTCCATTCGAGGTGTGGGGAATCGACCATCTCGGGCCTTTTCCACATACATCAATCAGACGGCAACCGCTTCATTCTAGTGGCGGTAGATCATCTTACCAAATGGGTAGAGTTATGCCCCGTGGCCAGTACCTCAACCGAAGAAGTCGTGCGGTTCCTTAGAACCCAGCTTCTCCTGCGACACGGAGTGCCACGGATGATCAAAACTGATCGAGGTACAGCTTTTACCTCTGCCGTGTTTTCAGAAGAGCTAGCCTCTCAAGGCATAACTCATGCTAAAGCAGCTCCATACCGACCGCAGACGAACGGGTTGGTTGAGCGAGCTAAGAGAACAAT